CCTAGATAGATTACACACAAGCCATCACAAATACAGGTGTTTGGCCCGAGGACACTACATACATTTTATCATTCTAAACATAGCAACCAATCTAAGAAACCTGCAGAAACAACTGACTGGAACTCTTGACCGGGGTGTTAGTAGACACATTTCATTCACATAAACTAAAAGCAATTATTATTTTGACTTATTTTTTCAAATTGAATATAATAGTAGATTTTGTTGTCATAACAATGATTGACAGTATTATGTAACATACATATGGATTCTGTTAAATACACATTGCGCAATCATGGCACTACAAACTGTAAGTTATAAAGTAATATAATTAACAAGATTGCAAAACAAATTAACTATTTATTGCAAAACACGCATACTTCATACAATATTTAAAAATAAGCTCCAAAATATGAATCGTCAGACTACCCAATCTGTACAGTAAATAACTGCTGGAAACTCACGGGTACAGTGATCTACTTTTGAGTATGTACTCAATGTTTATACTTTTCTGGTTATTTATTGACAACCCATTAATTGCAAACAGCTATATAATTCCAGTGAATTTTGTGAACGGTTATGACTTTTATGATAGCTACTATTATACATTATACTCGACCATCTAAAATTGAGCATTATTTCTTCAACACATTAGCCAGGGTTAACATAAGTTGTAATTAATTGATATAACAATGTATATATGCAATAACGTAGAAACTGGAAACACATTGATGCATTTTGAATTCGCTTAACATTTTACTTTTATGTCATACTCAAGCGTGATGTGAATCATTATTTTAGTTGTTATGTGGTTTTCTAAATCGAACCATTCTACATATTAAGTGTAATAAACAAGGTGTAAACTGCATTCTGTCACCTACTGGCTGATTTAATAATTGAAGTGGAAACGTTATTGGATTACAAATCTTAATTAATGCCACATTAGTATGCAGTTGTAGACATTCGCATATATAATCAATGGGAGGGTATATAGAACATGCAGTGTCATGGGAGAAGCTGCACGTACGCCATCTTCAATCACCAGCGTATTGAAAAAAACACGTAAGGTAATTTACTTGTCATGTTTATATGAAAATATTGTTTTTAACAACCCTTTTTAGTCATTGTATATATTTGCATTCATATGTAGTACGTAATTCACTCTGCGCATTAAACTATTATATCGTGGGTATTTTGTTTATTGTGAACTCGTTTGAAACAATGATCAAGTGAATACAGTGTCTGGACGAGGATATGATATGAGATTTTAGATTAGTAAAACACACTTTTCTAATCAGTGCCCATTTTATTCAAGCATCGAGAAATATATAATAACAGTGAGTAATGTTGTACATGTTATTAAATTTATAAATATACCCTTCCAGTGAAAATACATATATGCATATGGTTTTATTTCATAATATTTACTGCCTGGGAAGTATCATGATTCAATTTGCACGTGTTCATGTAATTATGAGCATCGCTGTATTTTATTTTTAGTATAATGTAACAACACCGCAAAAAATAGTATGTATTACAAATATATTAACTTCATTTTTTACTAATAAATCATACCTAGGACCATAGAAGTGTATTGAAGATCAACAAAATGACAAACTATTCACCACTGTTGCTTGCTCCAGTCTGTTGCTGGTAAAAATGACGTTAAAGATGTGATACACAGTTTTTATATACATTTCGGAGGTTATCGATTTCCAGCGACAGAAGATAAATAACGCATGTGTGGAAGTGTATAATCGGGCATATAGTAAGATGTTCCTGTATGCCCTATTAATACATTCCATAAGGCGCCAAATGCTTCATAACTTCATCCGGTCCCTGTTTCAGCAGCAGTTCACTGTACAGATATGTCATTGCTCCAGTTACAATCTCAAATCTTGCCGACAGTCTATATTTCAAATTCATTGACACGATCTTTTTTACATGGTTACCATTGAAAGGGTTTGATTTCAGTTTGGGTATCATCTATTCAAATTTACTGTGTCGGACAAAAAGGATACATTTTATAAAATATCAAGTGAGTTATGTGTTATACAGTATACATACCGTGAGATGTATCATGATCATTTTTATCTGTATTTGTAGTTTTGGGCAATTTGAGTTTAATAGTATACGTTTTTCTAAATAATTGCGTTTGTCCTTTGTCCTTATTCATTGTAAACCAGAAAAAAACACATTCTTACTTCGTGTGTGTTGTTATCATAAAAGAAAATATGTAAATGAATAAAATAAGTCAACATAATGCCTCAAAAACATGTTTCCCACGATCACTGTATAAATGCGTTACAAAGTCACATTTATTATGTTAATTATTGCACACTATGTCATTAGTTACCTTGACTACATACTAGAGATGGCTGCACGTTTTTAACTAATACGGTTTTAATTGACCAACTCTTGATTTGCACTTGAGAATTCTTTTACCTGCACATAAAAACTGTTATGTTACTGATATCTATCCAGATGTGCATATTTCAAGGGCAAAGTTAATACGATTCCATGATTAGACTTAATTATGTCACTTTACTACATGCACTATGCAGACAAACTAGTTTTAGTCGAACACAAGAGTTACATGCATAGCATGTTAAATACCCGCCTATGGTAGGAATCGAACTATTTAAGTGTTCAGCCACAGATTCATAGATAGGTCATAGATAGGTCAAACACAAGGATCGTCGATATTAATTCTGTTCACATTCCCGTTACAAAGTGTATGTTAGCTTGTATGTGTCAAGACAAGGAGTATCATTTGCCTACATATGCACCACAGTTTTGTTTACAAACTTCATCCGCCGATAGAAAAGGTGGTGTATTATTCTTGGTTACTCTAGTATTATGTACAGTATATTAGCTTGAAATACAAACATAAAATATTTTGGAATGCAAAATTTATACCAGAATAGGGGATTGCCTTAGGATGTCAATGTGATTCTGTGCTTTGAATCAAATTATAAATCAAATCATGTATGTAAAACTCAGTTTCAGCAAGGCAATAACACAGCACGATAAATACTATTGAATGAAAATAACAATGTACTACGTACGTGATTCGAACTACCATACGCGTATAAAAGCTAGCATTCATGTATTCATATCTTCTTGTCCTCCCATGTCGTGCTAATCATATATCATGCCAGCCGATAATTACAGTAGACACAAGGTCACAAACTTGTACGGCAGGACTTTATGGTATGTTGACACCTGCACTAATACACTCTTTTGACGCAGCTGTAGCTGTAAGCTATTTCATAAGACTGGTCAGATCGCGACATAATGTAACTTGTGCATGTATGCCGATTATTTAGTGAATGAAACAGACTCGTATTGCACCACAATAAAACAGTAAAAAAATACAAATTATACCAAAATCCTCATTGTCATTGACAAAATAATTGTTTTGACAAACGTTACGGCCCGTACTGTCGTTTTGTTTCTGCGTTTCCAGTCGATTTTGTGTTGACCGTTATTGCTATAGTCGTTTTCCACCTAGCTGCGTATTATGCTTATAATCCCGTTACTGGATATAACTATTCTCTATGTTCATAGCTTAATTCATTGTATTGCCCCTATCTATCTAACTACTTGCTAATAATTTTTGCACAAAACAAAACAACCCATTTCTTATATGTTATCTAATATATATCTTATTGATCGTGACGTGCGTCAGTTGCAAGGACTGCGCTCGGATTTTTGTATATTTGAAACAAAGAAATAAGGGGGACAGTTATTCTGTATAAAAAGGTCCAGTGCATCGCACCGCAACATTTTGATCAGAACAGATCTATTTTTTGGCCTAATTCGATTAATTTAGATACAATGATTTCAACTTCATTTTAGCAGTTCCAACTTGAGATAAAAAATAAATATTCTAAAATATATAGCAATCAATACTACAATATTTTACATATAAGATATAGTAGTTAACGATTTGTAATACACTGCTAAATATATATATATTGAATATTCATGTATGGCATTGACATGCAATAATTATTTAGTATTACATTACACATATGCTCTCTAAAATGAATAATTTGCATTATCTGTGTATCAATAGTGTGCTCAAATGTTGCATATTTAATTACCAAGAATATTGAATATTAAGTAGACAGCATTTTAATCTTCAGTTCCTGTTCAATAATTGGCTTTTGTCAAATACAAATGATATGTTGGACGAAAGCCATGATATTTGCTAAAATAAACCAATTACATGGTATTAGTCCATGTTTGGACGCAGTCTGGAAATGGGAGTTAGCTAACC